AAGAATGGGAGTAATTCTTCTTTGTTTTGATTGCCTTAGTTTGATTGTATTTGTGTGTGTGTGTGTGTATGTGTGTGTGTGTGCGAGATTCTCTTTTTCCTTTCCTTTTTGTTCTTATTGTCAAGCTTTGACTGAGTACTTTTGTTCCCTAAGTCTAATAACATCAAGTATATAGCAAGAAAAGGGCACAAGAAAGAGGAAGAAGATACCATTATTGGTTTAGATTAGTCAACCTAATGCACATTTATGAGTCAATTTTCATGTTTTCCAGCATATTTATGAAATTAAGGCAGTGTATCCTCAACCTAATGAACTTGTTATAGGGTGGATTTTCATACAATGTGGATTTGCCTTGCAGTCCTTCAAAGATGTTTAGTTCTTGCAAATGCTAAGATTTTACTGGAGGGGCAGAGTGATGTGCTGGAGCTAGACCTCCACATTTGAATCCTGACTACCACATGTCACTGTGTGTGTTAAGGCAATTTTTTTTTTTAAACCTCTCTATCCTCAGTTTCTTCTTCTGTGAAATGGGAGTGTAATAGGATCCTCCTCATAGAGTTGCCGTAAGTATTAAATAAGTTAAATGCTTTTACAGAGCACATGGTAACTAATACACATAAAAATGTTATGCAATCCCATCATACAGACTCGTGTTAATAACGAGAGTCTTTTTATCATGAATAAATGTTTTCCGAGTTCTGCTATGACTTCATCATTATATTCTACCGTATTATTCCAAGTTTTAATAGGAAGCATAAACTTTAGTAATTTAATGTAAGTGTGAACAAGAAGTTACACTCGTCTGATAATAAGTCTAAATGTCTGTAGTTTCTTGCCTCGGCCTTCTTCTGGCTGATGAAATGTATCACGCGATGTACCCGGCCAGGATGTTGTTCAGCCCGCAGTTGTTACGTACGCCTTCAAGATGCTCAAAGCATGCGTGGCCTTAAACTTCTCTGTCACTCTGGATTTGGGCAAAAACGATGGGGCTTCTGGTGAGAAGGGCAGACCCGAGCGGTGCTGCTGTTGGAGCTCGCTGAGAACCTGTGGACTGCATTTCAGGGAGATAGCCCTATTTTGTAATTTTTCAAAAGTACGGCCCCATAGGGTTTTCTTGGCTGTAATCTTTATGGGAGCAGATCGCCAGGTCTTTCTCCTGTGGAGCCACTGTGTAAGTTCGAACTTCCAACTTTTTGGTTAGCAGCCAAATGCTTAACCTTTGAGCCACCAGGGCTTCTTCCCTTGGCGATTAGTAATTGCTAATTTGTAATTGTGTAGTCCTTTATGGTTTAATAATATTTACAGCTGTATCTATTAATTTCACTTCTTTCTCTTATAAATAGGTTATTATCCCTATTTTATAGATAAGGAATAGGAAGCTGAAAAAAGCTTAAATTGCTTGCCTGTGGCACACAAAATGTAAGTGACAGAGCTGGAGCATAAGCGCCCCCCCACCCCCCCGCCTCGAGTTTTCTATTTCCATTGGTTGCTGCAGCCCTCACTACCTCCAGAGGTTACCTTTTCACCCTTTGGGACGCACTAGAGAAATTTAAAAAAAAAAATGTCTGCAACCTTGGATAAAAATCCCAGCCTCTACAAGAGATTTAGTGCAATTAAAGATCAGAAATTAAAGAAGTTTATGGATTCCGATAAGTCTGAACTTTTCTTGCATTTAGCGTTTGCCTAACTTGTAAGAGTCACTAATTCATAGAAGCCTTGGACTCTGCAGAAAGCTTTGTGTGTGTCATTGGGCAGCCTGAGAGATCATGGTGACTTTGTGCAGCTTACTTCTCCAGAAACTTCGGATTGAGTCCAAGGGGGGTTTCCGTTGTTTGCCCAATTTATCATGACCACTTAAGTTTAAAATTTCACTAGAGAGATGATTGGCGTGTTTAAAGAACTTTCTACTCAGGTGTCAATATTCAGGTGCTTCTTTGCCTGAAAAGGCAGGGATTACCTGAGTGTGCGGAAGGAGGAAACAGTGTGGCTCCTGGGGACCCTGCCGAGTCTGAAAACGATGGGGATCAGACAGAAATTTCACCGTGTCTACAAAAACTGAAAATGTTCATGTCATTTCACTCAGGGTTTCCGTTTAATATTTATACCCTTGCAAAAATACAGTCACAAGAATATTCACCGAAGTATTATTTCAGTAGGAAAAGAAAAAGAACCTACCCAAATATCCATCAATAGGAGAATAATTAAATTATTTCATATCCATCCATCCTGTGGAATGCTTGTCAGTTGGTACAAACTACAAGGTAGGAAGATGGGAACTAACACGGAAAGATAGCTAAAACTAGTTAAGTGAAAAAACCAGTTTGCGAAATAGTGTGTTTACTATGAAACCACTTTTACAAAAATAGTAACGGTGATCATAATGAAGGAGAAAGAAAATAAGGGGAATGTCTATCTATAGAGAGAGAGAAGAACAATTGGAGGTATATGTGCTGTCCTGTTGCTGATTGTCATTGTTGAGGTCTGAGGTTACAGAGAACATGCATTTTCAATAATACATACATTCATTGAACAGATATTTATTGAAAGACTCCTAATGCCAGGTACTGTTCTAGGTGCTGAGGGTACTCAAAAAGCTTACCTTTTAGTTGGAGGGGATAGAAAATAGATTTTTCTTTAATAGATAGAAATTAAACTTCTGTCTACTATAAATGAAGCCCTGGTGGCGTAGTGGTTAAGAGCTCGGCTGCTCACCAAAAGGTCGGCAGTTCAAATCCACCACCTGCTCCTTGGAAACCCTACGGGACAGTTCTACTCTGTCCTGTAGGGTTGCTTGAGTCAGAATAAACTCGATGGCAGTGGGTTTGGTTTTTTTTTTTTTTTTGGTGTCTACTCAAAATAGATAGAAACTTGGTTTTTGGATAAGGGAGATTTATCACATTTACAATAAGAAGACATTTTTTAAGATAGACATGAAAAAGGAGACCGTTACGGAGGAAAGATCAGCCACCTTTCTGCTCATGGGGGATGGTTGTGAGGCCAGACACTGGGATCAACATAAAGCTGGAGGAATAGATCTAATGTAGGTCCATTCATTCTAATTCCTGTGCTTTCCACAGCCACTTACTTAAACAGAAATGTAGATTCTCTCCTACTTCCTCTATTATATTAATACTAGTACTCTCGCTAGCAAAATCTCATCATAGGAAAAAGTTTATTAGTAGTTGTTCTTTTTACATTTAGAAGATTATGAATAGTCAAGTGATAGGTTGACTCCTTTTTTAGGAAATTATTGGTAGGGTAGGAATGAAGGCCAAATGGAATTTTTTAGTTTTTCATTATAACTTGCAGATTTCATGCTGCTCAGGATTATCTGCTATGTCATGGCACAGTGGTTAAGTGTTTGGCTGCCAACCAAAAGGTTGGGAGTTCTAATCCACCAGTCGTTCCTTTTGGAAACCCCATGGGGCCATTCTACGCTGTCCAATAGGGTCATTATGAGTCAGAATTGACTTGACAGCAGTGGTTTTTTTGTTTTGTTTTGTTTTAAATCAATAAAGTATGGGCTCTTCTCTCAAAAATTCTTAGTTTACACAGTAAGACAGACAAGTAAACAGAAAAATAACAAACGGTGGGAGGGTTTATTTATAATAAACGGTATGTATGGAATCTGTAGGGAGTCAAATCTCAGTGACCCCATGTTTGTTACCACTGATCAGTACTGCCTATGCTTTTTGAATCTGAGAGTCTCCCTCACCCCCCAAAAAAACAAAGAATTAAGCATTTAATAGTGTCTTTTCTGTCTAAGTATAGCTGAGCAGCGTCCCTACAGGACCGAGTGTCTCCAAGCTACATTGCTGTAAATTCAGCACCTCTTCCACTGCGGGTTCCCTCTAAGTGGTCTCAGTGGTTAAGGAGCGCTTGATCTTGCCATTTACGTGCGCAGCAAACTTCTAATTTTTCCAGCTTTGCTTTTTTCAAAGCCAGACTTGGAGAACAAGCAATTATTTTTTGTTAGGACAATACAAATAAGAAATAAAGAACATTTAAAATGAAAAGTAGATCATCAAATGTGTGTGTATGCATGCTTGTGGACGAGCGAGGAAACATTGATCTGCTATGTGTCGCCCTCCAAAGATACTTCAACAGTTCCCGTTCTGTGTTCGTGTAAACACACACGAGTGCACATTTGCACAGATGGTATCTATGGCTATCCAAGTATTTGTACAGAAGCTATTTAAACATGCATACATACATGTCCCCTCTTCTGATTCAGATCTTCAGTATAAAAATTTAGACACCGTTAGTTATATTTCCCACATCAAAGTTTAAAACAATAATCAACAGAGCCGAAAAACAGAGCTGTGGTTATTCGCTTGTCAGGCAAGGGATTATAGCCCCGCCATCCTGTTCCGTGTGTACCTTGGAGATTTTTTATAGCTGAGATGTCCGAGAGTTGTGTGCCTTAATTGATTCTCATATACAGTCATTAAGAAACTCTGCCTTGTTGTGAGGTTGTTAACCATCATGATAGGGCAACATGTGTACTAATTATTAAATGAGAAACTATTTTGTTCTGTAAGCCTTCATCTAAAGTGAGAAAAGCAGCACAATTGGAAGAGCGTAGTCGATGTCACTGAACTGTGCATGTAGAAATTTTTGAAATGGTGTATCTTTGGCTGTGTATATTTTCACCAAAAAAAAAAAAATGTTGAGAAGGGAGAGGGCTGACATGTTGTGGGGTTGTTAACCAATGTTATAAAACAATATGTGTACTACTGTTTCATGAGAAACTATTTGTTCTGTAAGCCTTCACCTGCAGTACAATAAAAAAAAAAGAAAGAAAACTATGCCTTGGACTCATTCGCTCCCCAACTGACCTCAGAATGGACTTTCCAGTTCTCATTTCTTTGCTTTCCCTGAAAACAGAAACAAAGTAATTTATTGCTTATTTAAGAAACAAAGAAAATGAACAAATCTAAGCCACACAAAACGCTCACTGCCATGTTGGTCTCTTTCTTTCCTCTGCATGTACGCTCCAGGTGGGAGAGTTCAGGGCTCATGCCGCTGAGTGGACAGCCAATGTCACAGCCGAATTCAAAGAAACCAGGAGGCGGCTGAGTGTGGAGATTTATGACAAATTCCAGCGTGCCGCGTCCATTAAACGGAAACTCTCGGCAGAACTAGCTGGAAACAACAATCAGGAGCTGACCCCTTGTAGGAGGACCCTGTCGGTGAACCACCTGACCAGCGAGAGGGAGGTCTTGCCTCCCTTACTGAAGACTGAAAGTATTTATCTGAACGGTTTGACGCCACACAGTGCTGGCGAAGAGATTGCTGTAATTGAGAACATTAAATAGCTCTGTCTTCGAAGAGCCTTAGGCATAGCTGTAGGTGAGGACTTCCACATGCTCTTTACGACTGATGCTGGTAGCATTTCTTAAATCGTGCATGAGCTCAAAGGGGGGAATACAAATAGATGCACCCATCGTGTCCATCTGCCATCAAGAGAATTGGGAATTCTGAGGCAGCACTCTTTTCTGCGATGCTTGTTGAGTGGCCCACTGTGTTGGACGTGGAAAACGAGCAGATGTCTGACACCTCTTCACGCCCAGACCGTTTCCCTCCCTATTTTCCTAATGTGCCATGAGGCCTCAGAATGAGTTGGGATTGTTTTTGGTAATGATGTAGCTTTGAGGGATCAGCCCTTCACTTTTCAGGGTCTACCTAACTGAGCCTAGATGTGGGGACCGTTTATGGATGACAACATTTCTTTTTGTGAATGGCAAGAAATTCTTCCGCATCCTTTTACCTAAGAAATTTCTGTCAGTGCCTTATCTTATGAAGAAACAACCTCCCTAGCTAATGTGTGGTTCCTCCTTCCCCGCCCCACCCCTAGGCTCACCTCTGCAGTCCTAGACCCTGTCCTCCCATTTCAATCCCGTACTCTGTTGGAAAGAGTGTGTAATATGACTGAAGTGAGGACACCTGAAGAACGAGCAGATGCCAAGTTAGATGGACATTGAAGCAGCACACAGAAACCCTAGCGTTAAAGGCACTGCGGAGAAATGAGGGGCAGTGATGGCCCCTCTGAGTATTAACTCGACTCAGGTACCAATGGTACAGTATAATATACAGTGTAATTGTTACCAGGCCTGTAGCATTGGCTGCTCCCAAATTTTTCCTGGCAGTATTTGGAATTTACCACTTATTAATAGAGGTACGTTTTTTTAAAGATGGAAGAAGAAAATCCATATATAGAATGACCTGATAGAAGAAACCCGTTAAAAATGGTTATTCCTGAAGGTCACTTACGACTGTTGGTGTCAGTTCTCATTCTGATGAAAAGAACATAGCAAAGCGATGTGTTAAGAGCACTTGCTAATAAACATTATACTGCCAGCATCTGTTTGCTTTTTGATGTGTGAGAGGCGTATGTGATTCTTTCTTCCTTGTGTGACTTTTGCCAGAGAAGGGGAGGTGAGGTGGCTGTAACCTTCCATGGTTGTTCCTCTGGATTGGTGACTGAGTGTGAGAGCAGTTGAAACTGGGATCACTGTGACTTTGCACATGGAGAAATGCAGATTGCAGGCAGAATTCGTCTCTGACATTAGAGAAAAAGCTGTTACAGCACAATTCAAATCTTGAGAGTTTTTTGGTTGTTTTTGTTGTGTTTGTTTTTAGATAGAAAAGACTGATAATCCTTTTTAGTTTAATGTTCTGGCCTGTAATTCTTTGGATGTTTCCAAGATTCAGAAGAAATTCAGTAAAAGCACCCAGTAGATTGCTACCTTTTCTTTTATTTTCGTACTTAGGTCTGATGTACATTGTATATATGATTTTTAAAATACAGAAAGAAAATGATTTCCCTAAATATAATTGTAAAACTGATGTCTCTTTCTCTTTTTTTTTTTTTTTCTTCCTTTTTTGGTATCTGAATAAGCGGCATTCAGATTGAAGTCTTAAAAAACAAGCCCAGTATCATAAAAAACAAAAAAACTAATAAACGCTTATTTTCCAAAATTTACATTTAAGCTAGAAATGTCAATATTCAGTTAGCTTGTTGAAGGTACTTTTATAAATTTTAAAAATCTAACCAAAATTTTAGAAAGCCAGGCTCTTTTAGAAAGAAAGCTACACCCATTTCCTCAGTCCCTGCTCTGAAAGTTCATACGGTGGAATGCTCCATGTATAAACTGTGAATTGTATTGACGAATAAAGTTTGTACTTAAAGTCAGCATTTTCTGAGTCTCCCGCTTGCTGCCCAGAATTTAGGTCTGACTGACTAAACAGAACGCCCGGATGTCATTTTTCATCCTGTGCTTTTTATGGCTCCTTCATTAACAATTTCAAGAAATATGTTTGATGCAATATTACTGCCCTTTTTATAAACGTGCAGAATGTTCTTATTGGTGGCTGCTACTCAAAAGCAAATATCTTGCAATTCTGTTCTGAAGTATGATTTTTAAAAGAGCATATAAATTCAAGGTTGTGTCTCGTAAATTATATCCAGTTTTATCATTGTTAGATTTGTCTTGACAGTGAAGTAGGCTGAATGCTGAACATGGGCACCTGAAGATTACTGTAAGAAAATCAAGCGTCCCAGTAGTATTGAAGACTAAAGAAGAAAATTGTAGACCAGGCTTCTAAACTCCGTACTGCAAATATTTGGACTACATACCTTGTCAATAACCAAAACCAAGCCAAATCCATTGCCGTCGAATCGATTACGACTCACAGTGACCCTAGAGGACAGAGTAGAACGGCCCTATAGGGTTTCCAAGGAGCGGCTGGTGGATTTGAACTGCTGACCTTTTGGTGAGCAGCCGTAGGTTTCAACCACTGCACCACCAGAGCTCCACCTTGTCAGTAGCTTACATAAATTTATTTATTCATCTCTAAGCACCTCAGTAAGGAGCCCTGGTGGCACAGTAGTTCAAACCTACCAGCTGCTCCATGGGAGAAAATGTGGCAATCTGCTCCTGTAAAGATTGCAGCCTTGGAAACCCTTATGGGGCAGTTCTACTTGTCCTACAGGGTTGCTATGAGTTGGAATTGACTCGATGGCAACAAGTACACACCTCAATGCTCAGTAAACATCTTAAAGCTGGTCCCCAACATTATCTTCAAGATTAGGGGAACATATAAGAAAATGTGTGTATTAATTGACACTACCTTTCTTTTCCACTGATGGCACGGTGGTTGAGCGTTTGGCTGCTAACCAAAAGGCTGACAGTTCGAATATACCAGCCGATCCTTGGAAACCCTGTGGGGCAGTTCTGCTCTGTCCTGTAGGATCAGAACCAGCTCGACAGCAATGGGTTTGGTTTTGTTTTCTTAAGCTTTATTTAATTCTTGGAGAGAGAACATTGATAAAAAATTTTATATAGTCTAGAATTTTCTAGTGAGTTTATTTCTTCATTGGGCCAATTTAAAAGTAAGTAGCTTTACCCTGAAGTATATTGGGAGGAAAGTCAGTACTAGGACTAGCAAGGATGGAGAATAACCTGATACGTGTTCTCAGACAAGCATTCTAGACAATGTTCTTTCTCTATCCACTGTACAACTACTAAATATTAAAGTGATTCTTTTGGAGTTCTTTCACTTTTTTACATAAATTCATGTACTTGGCTACATAGTTCATTTCATGCACTTTTTTTCCCTATGCTTTACTTCTGCAGTACAGAAAAAAGTGAAACTTTTGAAGCTAAGAAGGAACTGAATAATCTGCATCTTCCCCTTCCAAAAAAAGAGTGAGCAGTGTGCTGGGCTTTGTTTATTTCTCAACTTAAAAGGGACACATGGCATATAAGAAAGACTAAATTACACCTGTCTGTGTGTCAAAAATAAGTAGAATTCATTGATTCTTGAAGCTAGAAGTCCAAAGAAACTAAGAGAAATTTTAGATATAACACCAAAAAAAACAATCAGACATTCTGAAGACTTGAGAGAATTGTTTATGCCTGAGAACTAGAGGTCTAGGTCAAATTTTGTTTTTGTTTCTTGATTTTTGCCCTTCTAGTAAAATAATAACGTATCTGTGGTAAAAGTTACTTATTAAAGTGTGATTATAGAATTGCTTTTGTGTAACTTGAATGATATCTCTATTTGAATACTCACGTCCCTATTAAAATTATGGTTCATCATGGTATGAATTTTGCTACAGCTCGAGTTTACTCGGTGTCTTGTTATAGACAGACATACTGACTTCTGCATGCTCATGTGGTCAGTGGCATAGTGACGTGGGGTTATGTGGTGACTTTGGATAGAAACTCTTGGGGTAACTAATACAGGGGAAAGCTTCACAAGCGCCATGTGATGCCGTCAGCCCCACCTCAGTTCAATGACTTAGACAGCTTTTGTTGCACACACGGTGACTTCCCACCCATATTTTAACCCTTGTTAGTTGCCATAGGGTCGGCCCTGACTCATGGCGACTTTCATGTGTGACAGAACGCAGTGTTGCCTGCTTCTGTGCCGTCTTCATGATTGTTGGTATATTTCAGTTTCTCTTCCCTAAAAGATAGTGATCAGTTCAATGGACCAGGAGTTTTGACTCCACTCTTTCGTTTTGACTCAATCCCATTTCTTTACTAAACTCCCTATTTTACTATTTTTAATATTCATAAAGCCATTTATTATTTTCCTAATATTAGCACTATACAGTACTTTTCCTAAGTCATGCTTGTCTCAATTTACAACTATTTTTTCTTTTTATTGGGCGTTCCTTTCCGAAGTATTTCTGTACATTTACCAAAAACTCACCGCCCAGTCTATTTTGTTTCCTCTGCACTCTTAGACTTGAATTCCTCTCTGTGCTCCAGATCCATCTAGCTAACTGTCACTGAACATCTCCACCTCTCAAAGGTACCTCAACGTATCCAAGACCAGGTGCGTAACCTTTCCTCAAAGCTGGCCATCTTCATCACAAGGCTTTGCTGTCTGGAATGCTCGCTCTCCTCTTGCTCCTCAACCTTTTTCTGCCTAACAAACTCCTACTCATCCTCTAGAACCAGCTCAAGTATTACTTTTTCTGGTGAGCTTTCCCTGACACTAGGTCAAGTGTTTCAGTAATATGACCTCATAAAGCCTTGTTAATTCCCTTCAGTTCATGATTGATATTTATCACTGTTCTTATTTGATTAACATCTACCTTTCCCATTAGAATTTAATTATTTGTTTTAGCTTACTGTTTTCTTCCCAGAGCCTACCAAAGTGCATATAGTAGGTGCCCAATACATAGATGATGAATAAATGTGTGCAGATAAAAACAAGGGTTTAACTTTAACCATCTGAAGAGGAGCCCTTGTGGCGCAACAGTTAAATGCTCAGCTGCTAACCAAAAGGCTGGTGGTTCGAACCCACAGGGCAAAGACCTGGTGGTCTTCTGTAAGAGAGAAAACCCTGTGGGGAAGTTGTACTGTGTCACATGAGGTCCCCGTGAATCGGAATCAACTCTGTGGCACCTATCAGCAACAACAACCATCTGAAGTATCCTTGTGAGTTTAAGTATTCTAAATTTTCTCAGCTCCACAAACATTTACCAGTCCTACAGGCTTAGTAGTAAACGGGATACAAATTGCATTTATTTCCCCTGTTGCCTAAATCACAGGCTGGTCCTAGTATGGATATATGAAATTTGAGGGACTTATATTCAACTTGAGGGACTTACAGTTTGTCATTATACACTCTTACTCCTTATAAGTAAGGGTTTTATTTTCATTTCCAAATTTTGACTCTTAGTAGGTACTATCAAAGCCTTTCAATTATAATTTATTTAGAAATTTACTTTAAAACATAGTTTCTAATTCTGTTAAATGGATGCCTTTTGCTCCTAGAAAGCTAAATGCACATTGACTATCCTTGCTAAATACAATTAAACTTTTTTCGGGCGTAAGCACAGTGAAGAAATCCGTTATTTAGTGCATCTTGTGCTGTATCCAGGAGTGAACGTTAGTCACCTACAGGGTATAATTTTAAAATTACCTCGTAGACTAAACATCAGTTTTTGTTTGGTTGATGCCTG